CTATATTTGCAAGGGTCCCCCTAATCCCAACCCTGGACCCTAAACCCTAAACCCTAATCCTAACTCGTCCCCAAACCGTAAACCCTAAATCCTAAAACCCTAAACCCTTAACCCTTAACCCTTAACCCTAAAACCCTAAACCCTTAACGTGGAAACCCCTCAATTCACTTAAACCTTCCTTCGTGGGGAAACCTTTCAATTCACTTAAACTCCCCACCCCTCAATGCACTGAAACCCCTTCGCGGGGGCGTCGCCTCTCGGCCCGCAAGCTGCAGCCGAAACAGACGCCTGACGAGAAGGGGCGAGCAAAAATATTCAGAGGACTTGTAAACAGCAATCATATATCTTTATTAAACCACGACTTAGACACATCCAGGCAAATTCAACGGAAAGATAAATGCAATGCCTTTACGACTAGCAAGTTTTACATCACCGGCCAATCAATTCAATTTGCTTCAACCCTCGCGGTGGCAACCAATCCAATTTACTTCAAACCCTCACGGTGGCCAACATGCACGGTGGTTTCGCATTTCTGGTATTCCCAGTACTATGCGATCGGGTCTGCCCTGAGGGGAACTGAACACAAGGGCACACAGCATAGCATAGGACGAAAGTGAACAACAAGTGGCAGCGGTTTGCTCAACTTCCGGCAGAAGTTTCCAGAGACAGAAAAAGCTGCAGATAAATATCTCAAAATCAGAAGACACCATGTACCCCAAAAGATAAATGCCCATTGTTTCCGAAGGCCGCGGGCCACGCCATAATGACCCACAAGACAGAGGACACGACGGAACGCCCCAAAACACATTACCACAATGATCAACGAAGCGAAAAGATCACAGCGCTGTGGATGGCCTAATTTACTAATTTCCTGTATCGACCCCATCGGTACCGCTCGCCCTGGAATCCATACCATACCGTGTGCAGTGTCCCTGTCCGTTTTTGTCAGGGGTAGCCTAATCTCCAAACCTTATGGGTTTCGCCTCGGAGCGCTGTACACGTTGCCGTCATGTTTGCCGGACGTCGGGTTTTTCAACGCTTTGTCATATCTTGTGAGCCCGAAGCTGCACGTCGAGGATACTTCACACAACACGCGAGCAGCACCAAAACGCAGCTTTCCCCATTCCCTGCTTTTTGGCTAACATGCCGTCCGAATTTAGTCGGCAGTTGGAAGCACTGGCGTTGTCCACGGCACAGCGCCGCCATAATACTTCCATGGGTAATCACCTTAGCCAGGCAGGGTTTTGCCCGACGGTTCAGAGTAGCAACAGCCCTAAGGCTTAGTACGGCGATTTTGCACGAAGATGCCGGGCTGTCAGTACGCCTCAGGAGCTGAGCAACATGCTCTCAGTGCAGCTTCTTGAGCCCTTTGGACATGAAAGGCCATTCCAAATGGCAGCCCAAACGGCGCAAAAGGAAAGCCAAACACTGTCGTGTGCCTTGGACTAGCGAAGAAGAAGACCTTCCTGGTTGAAGAGCTGTGCTGTACCGAGCATTTTACAGTAAGTGCAATGAGCTTTGATGTAGAAGTCACCATCTTCGCACCTTTCACGGGAACAGGAACACCTCAATTCCAAAGTCAATGGATCTCGGCGCACCAATGCTTCTCGATTCTAACCCGCCTGTGACCATTCCCAAAAAGCTGTGCCTTTTGACCTACTGCCAAGGTTGCGGCTCTTTTCGGTTTATGGGGCCGCAGAATGCAGAGTCCTCTCAAGCTAGGAAAACCCACGGAAGTACGGGTTTCGGCTGACCGTGGCACAGAACCCCACGAACACCTGGAGCACGCTCAGGCTTGAACTGATAAACAAGCTTTCGAAAGATACCGGAGGGCAACAAAAAAGAACCGAGAGACCCCAAACAACAGCAGGTCCGTTGTGAGTACCCGCTACTCTCAAAGAAAGATCTCGGGGTGGTCGGAAGCATTGCATTTTGCGGGCAACGACTCCTCGACGGTTTCGGGGTTAAGGACTGATGCTTGTGTGTCCATCAGATTGACAGGCTGCGGTGAAGCCTTTTGGGGGATTAGGCAGGGCTTCAGGTTTTGAACTGTAAGGTGTCAGCTAATTATTGAGGAAAAAGTTTCTCGATGTCTTCAAACGCCTAGTAGGACAGCCGAGGCAACAGCTGCGCGGCTTGTAGAGCGACTGGATCTGTGCCTACGAGACCGGCATCTGCTTTTGGGCTTAGGGCGGCAGTTCAGGCAAGATCCATGGGAGTTTTCAGACCATATGGGACCAAAACACGGGGCCTGCAGTCGTAGGATCTTTATCATAACAGCCCTAACTTGGGCAGAGGGGACTGTTGAGTGGGACGAAGCAATCCCGATGGAAAACATGCAGAAAGTCCTGTTTGCAGAACGGAAATGTCCGAAAGCTATGTAGAAGAGCTTCTCGAACAGGTTCTCTCTCATGCTTAGACTCCTCATGCCCAACCCAGCTCTCGGACTTGGAGGGTCTTTGGAAGTCAATGCTTGCATCCTTTGTGCAGGGTCCTTTCTGCCTGAGCCCTTCGCCTCGCTCCCCTTTGAGAGCACTTCGATTGCGTACGTCCAAGCTCTAAGAAACCAACGTGAAACCACAATCCCAAAGTCCCGCTGCCTTAAACCCAACCCTCTGTCTCGAAACCTTCCAGAACTGTCCAGCATGAGGCCTCCGACAGCTGTGGCACCTTCAGCAGCCCCTCTGCCGTGTTGAGTATGTTTTCCTCTAGACACACAGCGTTGAGCTGTCGGCTTAGTGATTTCGTTGTTTGCGAGTTCAGACCTAGTGTTCACAATGCTTGTTCTTCAGCTGCAACAGTGTTTCGAGGTGTTCAGGAATGTCAAGATGCCACACAGTTTCCGTGTTGCAGGGGTTCGATTCGGAGTTGCGGTGTGCCGTTGCAGGGGCCAAGGGCCTTCGGCCATTGACGTGTGTCTTCGGCTATATTAGGATGCAGGAGGCTTAAGTGCCAAGAACTTCCTGTGGATGCTTTTCCTGTAAGGGGTAGTTTCGGACTCAGGCATCGCTACAGACCTATCGCGGCTACTAAGGGCTTGCCAACAAGACAACAAGCAACCCAAGTTCTGCAACAGGCAAGGAATGCAAGAGCTCACTCAAATTCAGCATCCAAGTCAACTAGCGAAGGAATTCACAAATGCAATCCTGTAAGCAGCAGCAACCACTTTCGCAGATTCTGTGCTAAAGGACGGGACTCGGATGGCAGACACCAGACGTAGACACCAAACCTTGTTCCCTCCCTCCTTTACCCTAGCGCTAAACCATGGAGCCTCAGATGCAGCACGGAACCTGGCGGCCCTCTTTGATTAGCTCCGGCCTGTCGCTCTGTCCGGAACAGCGGCACCATCCCCTGAGAACAGAGTTCCTAAAGAACCCAGCAGCCTGCAGCTAAAGCAATATAATGCAACATATTCTGGAGCCCGATGTGGTAGCTATGACCCATGACACCATGACTCTGACCCCATCGAGCCCTACTACTGCAATCAGAAATGACGGAGAAGTACTATTATGGGCAATGCCGCGCGGTATTGTGGCCTTCAGTTTGAGCTTTGAAGCCCTGAAGTCCGAACTGCCTGCGACCCGTGATTAACCCTGATCGCCGGGCCCGATGAACACTCGAGCTTCTGCGGCACCACGGGCTGTACGAGTTCTATTCTATTTGATTCTTAGGACCGCAGAAGCTTCGCGTTGCTAGTCGGTAGGAGCCACGCCCAGTTAGCCCTCACATCGCTACACCGAGACTGCTGACCAAAAGGAAGCTGATGTGCAGTGGTCCGGCAGGCAGCACAGTGCAGACGGTGCCAGTTCAGCCTGTAGTGGATTAATCTGAAGATGCTCCCAATCGTCCCGACAAGTGCGTGGCATCCCGTTTCCCCCACCCACTTGGCCCAGTCATCAGAAGTCGATGCTGGTGCACCACGGCAACGGAGACCACTGCCGGGCTCACGAGGACAAACTGATCGTGTTGGCTAGTTAAGCAGTGCATTGAGGAGCGATGCATCAGGGATGCTAGGAATGAGTGGATGTCAGGACTTGGAGGACGGAGTTTCCTGCACATCTACTGATAGTCATCATGGGGACGTAATTACTATCCTAAACGCTAAACACACTTCGCCCGCTCGAAGCATGCTCCAAGTAGGGAATAAGTAGGGAGGTTGCGGAACCTGGTCCCCAGCGGTTCTCCAGCTTTGGGTTGAGGATACCCTCAAACCCCCAGGCTGGAAACTAGAACTGAACCAACTCCACAACCCCAAACCGAAGAAGTCCGAAGCCTGAGAAACATTTGCGAGTGTAGGAAAGGCGAAACCTTTCGAGGACCCCTCCATCTGCAATTTAGGGCGGTCGTTGGTGTGGCGCCTGTTGTACGAACCACCGCATGAGCACCTGGGAAGAGCAGCAGTATTGGGCCAGAGGGTGCAGAGTGTACAAGGATGTTCATGTACACTTGCACAAGTAACAGTGCAATAAAGTAACTAAATGCAACAGCCGCGCCAACTGCGCGAAAGCCGTTCAATACAACTAAATTATGGCGAGCTCTACAAGGCTTGTATAAGGGCCAGAGATCCTAGTCATTCCTCGTCACGAATATTCCCTCGTTGCAGCATGTCCTGTGCAGGCTGCGTGACAAATCCTACTGCATTTTTTGCTTGGAACGAGTTGGGGCAGCTAGAGTTTCTAGTTCAGGTTTGAAGCTTTCTCCGGCTTATGTTTGTTTTAGTTTCGGTCTTCCCTACACTCCACACAGCCACAGCCCGCAGCCCCGAACAATATGCAGTCTAGGGTTTCGGGTTTAGGGTTCTACGATCAAGAACGACCTCTTGTTACCTCAGCCCTCACTGTATATCTACCTTTAAGTTTTTGCAAATATACACACACGACCACAAGTTATTCATTGCTGCTTTTGCGATGAAAATCGGAGCAGTACTGCTCCGTTACGATTCTTCTTGCATATCAACATCCTTGTCAAGAATACAGGAATTAGTACTTGTTCTATCACCGTTGTCATTCTTGCTAGCAAAACAGTCTATTCTGTTATTCTCCGGCTTCGTACTACTTCACGTCGAACTATCTCTGATGCTACTTGTCCTTGCTATGGCTATGTTGCTGAACTTGCTGCCAAGAATTGCAATGACGATGGTTACGATGAAGATGAACATGCTCAGTTGTGTCATTAAAACCGTAAGCACTAGACATCTCCATTGGTCAGCTTCCGCATGCTCTATGAATACTGAATTTTTGCAACTCGAGTTTGGGCACCAATGGCAAGGCGCGGATGTATATATATATATATATATGTATATACTACGACTCCCACCAGCGCTGCCACGCCCACCACCACCGCGACGAATAACTACACGTTACTACTACTCCTGACTACGACGACGACGACGACTACTACTACTACTACTACTACTACTACTACTACTACTGCTACTGCTACTACTGCTACTACTGCTACTGCTACTGTTGCTATTTCGACTACTTAAAACTGCTGCTAATACTACTACTACTACTACTACTACTACTACTACCACTACCACTACTACTACTACTACTACTACTACTAGTACTAGTACTAAGATCGGAAGAG